AGATCTTACTTCTTGAATATTACTTTCCGGTAAAGGCTATAGAAAAAAAAGATAATTTATCTATTAAATAATCAATTATTTCTTACATGTACAAATCTCAACAGGTTATCAGGTATTTCTACCATATCCAAATCAATTGAATGATAATTTTGTTTACGATATGGACCTAACTAAAAATGAAATTAAATATTTAAATTTTCGAATAAGATAATATAAATATGACATACCACAGGTCGTAAATCAGGATGAAACATAAGATAACCATTGTGATTAATCATAAATGAATAACCATGCACACCCAACTAAAGCAAAAAGAGTAATTTTCAAGAAAAAAAAAATTTAAAATATATCTACTCGATATTTTGGTGAAAATTCTTGTATAAGTTTAACGGGAATATCAACACCAACAGCACCCAATAGAATTGTATCATCATGTCCCTATTAAGATAGCATGATATGACTTATCCTATTTTTCCTATTTTACTTACAAGTTTTGGTGGATTAAGAACAGGTTGAGCAATTGAAATCATTAAATTAACAGGCTTTTAAAGCAAAATATATATATATTCTATTTATGAATTCTTTTTCTTTTTTTTACTTTGGATTTATTTTTAAATTCATCCATTGACAGAGATAAATCATGCAATTTAAATGGGAACCATTTATATGTTTTAATTGGTAATGTTCTTTCAACATCAAGAAAAACACTACTCCAAACAGTTACATGATCATTATGCATTGCTATTGGACGTGCTGTTACTGGAATGTAATCTTCAACATTTTCTTGAATATCTTCTAATGTTGATACATGTGCAAAATAACCTATCAAAAAAAATTTATAATCCATTGATTATGTCTAATTTATTTTACCTTTATTTGCACAAGACATCCATCGAATATGTTTTGGATCACCTAATTCTCTTCCAATCATATATGTAAATACTCGAGTCTGCAAAATATAAAAATTGTATCAAAAGATTTTTATTTTTTTTATTTTTACTTCAATTGGGTGGCATGTTGAATTATTATTTGGTTGCCAATTTCTTGTTTGAAAAACATTTAAAGCCGTTTCTGTAGCACCATCAGTAACAATCATTATCATTTTATTACATCCCGTACTATCTAAAAATGGATTTTCATCCTCACGAAACCCAGTTGCTAAAATAATAAAAAAATATATAGAAAAAAAAAATGTCATTTCCGTTTTGTCAATAAAAACCATTGAAATCTGACGGACAAAATGCTTGCTTTTGTTCTTCCGATTGATCATCTGTTGTCAAATAATGACATTGACATAGTAATCTTGCATTTTCAGTACGTGATATTTGTACTCGTGCGTTGTCTAATAGATCAAATGCCTTATTTAATGCTACTGAAAAATTTGCAATATTATCTGTTGTAAGATTTACATTTACTGCTGTTCGAAATCGCTATATTGAAAATAAGATTATTTTAATAAATCAATCAAATATTTTTGTTTTATTTACATGTCGATTTTCTACTGTTGCTTGAACAAGTCCATCTCGAAAACAATCATCAATAAAATATACACTGTCATTAAACTAAAATATCATAGAATATATTTGTAACAGAAATTAAACAATATTCTTTTTTTTTTACTTTAAGAATTTGTACAAAATCATCATCAGATAAAGTATCAAGT